TGGTGTCGTGGTTCCAGATGACGGCTAAAGGAGGAGGGAGAGGGGGGTGAGACGCGTTGAACAAAAAAAAAAAAAGAGTAAAAGAGCTTACGAACAAAGCCAAGGGCCTTGCCAATTTCACGAACGCGATCATCAATGTCACCATAGGGCTATCAAAAAAGAGAGGGAGGTGTGAGTGCATAAAATACGAGCATTGCGAGCATGCATGATCTTTTTTTCAGATGCACCCCTTTTCCCTTTTTTTTTTCTTACAGGGCGGAAGAAGCGAGGAGTGACGCCAGTGACTTCTTTGATGGCCGTGGCGGTCCACATCAATTCAGCGACAATTTGTTCGTTTGTTTCTGTGGTCAGGTACGAGTGAGACCATGTGTGAATGGCCAATTCGTGGCCGGTCTTGTAGGCGCGCAGGGTCAAATCAGGGAATTGAACGACCTGGCCACCAATCATGAAGAGAGTGGCCTTTTGCTGGCTCTGATCCAAGAAATCGTAGAGCTTGGGCGAGAAGCTGGTGGGGCCATCATCATCTAAAAGACATGTTAATATTGCATCGACGCGACGCGTGATTTGATCCTCTTACAGGTGATGCCCCATTGGCCCTTGGGGCAGGCAACAATATCATCGGGACGCGTGCAGCCCGTGAAGGTCCAGTCACAGTAAGGGTCGGCAGAACCGGATTGCTGAGGACCTGTAAAAAAAAAAATTGTCAGCACGTCAATTTCCGGCGATTAAGGTGCATTCTGTGTGCCAATTGGGGGAGCCAGTTTTTACCATTGGCGCCAGCCTTGACGACGGGGATGTTGCTGATGTTGGCGTTCTTGATCAAATCCATCCACTCGGGCTTGGGCGTGGGCTTGGAGCCCGTGGAAGGGTAGGTCTCCTTGAAGGTGAAGTTGCCAGTGGGAGCCTGGGCATTAATGGCAAGGATGGTGGTGGCGGCAATGACAAGAAGACGGGGAAGCATGGTGAAAATGAAAAATATCGTGTAAAAAACGAAAAAAAAAGAAAATGCGAGATGGAAAAGAAAAAAAAAAAGAGAATCTGAAGATTCGAGACGCTGGAATTGGAGGTCTTTTATGCCCTCCTGTCCCCCCCCTCATCCCCTTTAAACCTAAAAAAAAAAAAAAATAGGCATGCTCTCGTTCTGGCTCTCAAATCCAAAGAAAAACATCCAAATTAGGTTGCCTGAGCAACGGACCATGACAGCAAATCGCCGGATTTGTAAGGAGCAAGCAGCCCGTTGCCCGCCAGATTTCAAAAATAGGCCCTCGGGCTCCCCCCAAAACGCAGGTTTCGTGTCGTACAAGATGAATTCTTGGAAGACGCGTCGGTGCTTTTGCAACCAACCCTCACACAGCCAATTGTTTGAAATAAAAAGACACTAAAATGGTCAATCAGCTTGCTGTGTCAGCGCCAAAAACAGAACGTCCCGCCGGGGCGCGGCGCATTTGGTGGCGACGCGCGCCAAATAGGACACATATGCACCCAACCTATTGTTGCATCAAGAACGGCACTCGCTCACGTATCGCCAGCATAGAGATGCCCCCCTTGGCACCCCTGACTCTTTTGCCCTGGTGCATCCAATGTTTCCCAATTGCCCTCTCTTTTTTTTCACGTTGACAAACCATGCAAAAAAAGTAAAAATAAAAAATAACATTGTGTGAAACCACTGTGTATCTTGCCTTGGTTTTACCTGGTAATCACGCCAGTCATATAAATAGATCTCAGCCCCGCTCAATGTGTTGCTAAGCAAGTCGCCCAGAAAAAAAAAAAAATAGAGAATCAGGTCCACGCCTCCCCCTAGCCACGCCGCCACCCTCTCTTGCTCAATTGCTTTGCCATCCACAAGGGGGGTGGATCTAAAAACAAAAAAAGGTTTTTGTAAGGAGTCGCCCAAACATGGATCATCCTGGTTTCGCCTAAAAGTCGTTGTTTGCAAATCTGCCTTTTTTTTTTTTTTCTGGCAAATAGCCATGGCAATGGACGATTGTCCAAAAAAGCAGCATTCTTGTGCTTCTTTTCTGAATATTAAAAAAATCAAAACAGGGTAATTGAGAATGGGCAAATCATCCAAAAGCAAGAAAAATATGAATATGTGGTTTTTTGCGTCACCATGCTGCCTGCAGCATAAAATGAGTGCTACCAAGCCCGCCCGCAAACAAACTGTGTCTTGTGCATTTCCTCCAATTTCTCCGCCTGTTGCCATTGCAGCCGGGGCTGGCAAGATGATCCCTGCTTTCTGTTTATTTGTCTTGTTTATTTTTAGCCGACCCACGCGACGAGATCATTCGCCACAGCTCACAGGGCACCTGGCGCGGCGTTTTTCATCAACGGGCACCAATTGGGCACCACTGGGGCTTTGGGTTCATTTTTTTGCTGATTTTCAAGGCAAAAAGCCTCGTCTGCGCGGCTTTATTTGGTTTGCATTGAAAGAGGTGCTCAATTGTCGCGCAGTCGGGTTTTGCTATCAGTTGGCCGCGCAAATGCACGTTCAAAACAAGTTTTAATCAGGGGAAAGCCCTGCCAGAGCACACTCTACCCCTCATTTTGCCCCTCGCTTCTCAACAAAACGATGAAATGCTTGTCTATTTATTGTTTGCTTCCAGCCAAATGACCGAAAAAAAAAATGAAAAGAAAAATGAAAAAGGGCCATTTGTATTGGCCTGTCGTTTTTGAATCAATTCCAAGAAAAAGGCCCAGGTGAGCTGTTGCGGGGGTGACATCATTGAATTCCAAAGGCCGATTTGATTGGTCAATGCCTCTCACGCCTTGTTCATTGCTGCGAGCGCCAAAAATGCTGGACGGGAGCTCAATCAAAGCTTTTGCACCGCTTTTTTTTTTTTTTTTCTCCCACACTTTTTTTTTTCTCCTTTGACAGCTATCTCACCTTTTCACTATGCCTATCCCTTCCATCAGCAAGCCCTCCTCGACGCCCGACAGCTGCTTTAACAAGGCGTCCATTAGCACTGACCACCCTGACCACCCGGAAACTCCATCTTCCTTGGCCAGTGACAGTCAAACATCACAACCAACCAAGCAACAGCCGCGCTCACTGTTGCGCACAAGACGAAAGGACGATGACGCTACAGATCTCTCCATCAAAAGGATACGCAATGGCCGTTTTGGCGCGCTGTACGCGGGCTCCACCTTTGTTGGCTCTCAAAAATGCAACGACAAGGAGTATGATGTCGTCGTTGACATCTTGGTAAGATAATGCACAATTTTCGCATCAACTTGCCCCCCTGACTCTTTTCATTTCCTCGCAATTCCTTTGAAATAGAACGTAAACACGGAAGAAAGCACCATCAGTGGCTATTTGAACATCAAGGGCTTGACAGACGCCTTTCCAGAGCTCACAGTAAGATACAATGGAGCCATTGGCACACCTCGTTTCAGCGTCATTCACCCTCTTTTTTTTTTTTTTTTTTTTTTTTTTTACGCAGACTTATTTTGAAGGCGAGATCATTGGACCAAAATACTCGTTTTTGACGCGGAAATGGCAGGCACAGCATTACATTGACGTGTGCCATTGGGTAATTTACTGATGGATGCATGCGCCACTGCCTGCAAGACTGACTTTTTTTACGCATTGACAGAGTCGATTCCCCTCGTTTGAAAAATATATACCCGTGTTCAACAAGGATGGCTTCACGTATGACCCAACCAACGAGGATTGCGTCTATATGCGATGGAAAGAAAAGTTCCTTGTCCCTGATCACCACATCAGCAGCATTGATGGCGCCAGCTTTGCCGGCTTTTATTACGTGTGCTTCAATCGATCCGACAACACCATTTGCGGCATGTATTTCTATCGTCACTTTACCCAATGGTATCAGGAGCTGCTGCTACGCCATCAGGATGACAACCAGCGCGCTTTTGCTTCGTACGAATTCCGCTGAGACGAGCATTTTCCTGTTTTCGCCATTCTCTCTTGTCACCCTGTTTGAATACCTGTAATTTGTATGAATAAAAATACCATTCAAAGCCCAATGCACCCGTCTTGCAATGCCAAAGGAGCATTGCGCCCACGTGATGCGCACTGGCCATCCTCCATGGAAAATTGGGGCGCAATTGGTCCATCCTTTGCAGGCTAAAAAAAAAAAAGCATCAGCGCGCTACATTGCACAAATGCTTTTGGCACAATTTGGCCGCTCCTTCCTAACTGAGCTTGCCCGCCTGCAACGTATGCTTGCAAGTGACGCGCGTGCTCTTTTCTCGCCATTGCTACGAATTTTTTTAGGCAAAAATGCGACGCGAGGCATTCAAATTCATTGTGTAGGAAACAAATCCATTATTGATACTGTAGAAAAAAACGGGTCGTTTGACTCGTTCTTGGTCCAAAAATTGGCCCATTTTGGTCATTTGCTCGGCAACAGCACCACCAATCGACGCCTGGGACCCATCAAATCTACCCAGCTGGTGCGCATTGGAGACAAACACGGGTTGGCCGGTCAACAATAAATTACAAAATGCAAAAAATGCAACACAACATGACTTGCTTTTCTGCGTGGACGCCGTAAATTCTTAAAACAGATGGCACATTTGCACAAAATGATGCTCGCAACCCCTGCCGGACAAGGTCGCTAGTATGTATCGTCAAAATGGGAAGTGTGAAAAAAAAAAAGGAAAATCCGATCCATCCATCCGTTTGTGCATTTTTACCATGTATCATTGAACCACTGCATCGCACAAGAGTAATCTAAATTGCCAAACCCACGCTGACATCTAGTCTATCACGCGCCACGCGGCGCACTCAAACAGCACTTGCTTGAAAAAAAAAAACGAGCAAAACATACGGATTTGCCTTTTTGGGCGCCTGAAGCTTAAACCAATCGCTCGAGCAGCCTCCAGGACGCTCCAATGCGTGCACTACGGCTTGTTTCTCGCGCCGCAAACACCGGAAAATGTGAGCAGCTCATGTACGTTTTAAATAGTCGAGTTTTTGTCATTTTTGGTTTTCAAATTAGCTCTCCAACATCCAATCGCGTTTTCCGTCATCAAACGCGCGCATGGTTAAGTGGTATAATGGCCGCCTGCCACGCGGCCGGCCGGGGTTCGATTCCCCGTGCGCGCAATCTTTTTTTTCAATTTTCATTGATTTTTTTTTTTTTGCTGGTTTCTAATTTTTTTTTTTGGCGGGGGTGATGGTGAGGATGTGTGATGACGTGGGTGATGTGGTGTATTTCCGAGGGAAGCGCGAGGGTGTATGATGATGGAAATCAGGCCATGGTTTGCAAAAAAGTAATTTTTTTAATGATTTGCAATATACTGTATGTTGGTTTGTGTGTGCTGCTAGGCGTGTGTGGTGTTGGCTTGATACAATTAGCACGTCGAGCCCGCTGTTACGAGTTGTTGATTTCATAGACAAAGCACTATGACGATACCAAAATAAGCACTTTAGGGTGTTTTTATTCGCGTTGTATCCATGGCACATACGTGTAGCGCGCCCTTTTTTTTTTTTTTTTTACGAGATTGGCGTCGGCAATGACCATGCACCAAGGCTCTCGTCGTAGCAAGTATCATTAATTTCGGGTGAAAGATCAAATATACTATCGTGGAAATTCAAAGGGGGTATATGTTCCATGCGGCGGCCGGCGGCGTGCAATGGGATCGTGTATGCCGGTCCGTATTGGTATTGTATGAAATCTTTGCTATAGACGTCCCGGTAAGCCGTGATGCGAGTACAGTCCGTCTTTTGTACGATGTCCTCAATGCGGATGAAGGTCGGTCCGGCAACGCCGCGGTCATTCGCCAAATTTATAACGCTTTGGCAATAGAGTAGCGCTGGTCAATGGTGCGCGACGGCTTTTTCCGCGCCTATGCTGCTATTGTCATGGTTGATCACTCGATATTCAGCAATGTCGCGTGCCGTGAGCTCATTGACCGATTTTCCAAGAACCAATACTGTATTCTAAATTATATTTTACAATGGAGGATACGAATACCAAAATTATAAGCTAAATTACATTTTTTAATGGGTACGAACAACAAGATTCTAAATTATATTTTTTAATGAATATGAATAACACGATTGTGATTTGAGCTATTTTTTAGGCAAATGCATCTGGTTCTGATGGTGTTCAAGGCGCGCGTCTGTCAAAAGCCGCCGCATGTTCTATTTTGATAAAAACGACACTTTGGGTCGTTGCCACGCAACGAAGTTGCTGCTGCACTTGGGTCTTTTTGACGTATTGTCTTGTGCCCCACAGAGTCGCTACTTTTGGAGTACATACGGTAGAATACATAGAATACATAGAGTATATAGAGTACATAATACGGTAAGCGGCGCAAGGCGACCGGCGCGGCCACCACGGCAGCGGGCGTCGTTGCCAGTATCCACTTATTCGTAGTGTCTGGCACGTCGTGCGTATTGCCATTCATGAAGCTCCAGTGAATGCAAACGGAGGTACAGTGATGAAGGGAGCACGGACATGGTCTGCTCGAGGTCCATTGGCGACGACGGCAGCCAACAAACATTCCTTCAGTCCCAAATGCTCGAGCTGCGCGCTTGCCGGCATCACCTGTGTCAATGCGCGATGTAATTCTTGCATTTCGTACCCGTGTACATCATTGAGGATCGAGCTGCGCGCTTCTTGCCGCCGGCATCATCTGTTGTGTCAATACTGTACTGTACAGTACTGTACTGTAATAATGATGCGCCATGTAATCCTTGCATTTCGTAGCCGTGCACATCGAGGATGATCGAGCTTCCGCAATGAGGGATGATGTGCTGATGACGACGATGCCGCCATCATGCAAGATGCAACCCATCATCCAAGAAAAACTAGCCAAGTACTCGTCACTCGACGAGAAGAATGAAGATACTGTAGTTCGCTGCAAACCCTCGCAAGGAAAAGGGTTCGACATTCGCATTGCTGCCCGTTACTCTGATCAAGCAGAGATTCTTTATTCGGTCGACGCGGCCGCCGCCGAACGCTGCAGACGTGCAGGCAGACTGCCTGCTGCGGAGGAATACAGTAGAGGCAAATGACCTATTTTACAGTATGGAACTGTATGAAAAAAAACTCGAAAATGCCAAAAACTTCGCATTTGTAACTAAATTTTTCCACCTACAGACCTGCTTAGTTGATCGCACTCAAAAATACCCGCGTCGAATTCAGCGCAAAATTTGCAACAAAAAAGCTTATACCGCCAAAGCGCTACGACCACGTTTGAAAAATTCAGGGGTACACATTTCAACAACCTGTCAAGAAATGCCAAATTTGGAAAATTTTCGAACTCCGAGCGATCAATGCATTCCAAACAGGCAACTCCGACAATTGGCTATTGCCTGACAAAATGGCAGGTCGCACCAACTTTTGGAAAAACAGCCCAAAGAGTGACGCATGAACGGCGATCGACTGAGAAAGAATGTCTACTTTGGTCCAGATTTTTTTTTACAAAAATTCAAGGTTTGACACTTCCAAATTAAGTGCATGGATTGCATGGAATTTTTATTTTTTTCATTTTTTGCTTTGCACATTTTTGTTTGCTGAGTGGCCTACTGCTGGCTGCTGCAGCCTGGTGAAATGATCGATGCATAAATTTCAAACTCAAGCTAGCGCTCTGCAAGTCATCCCATTAGATGCTTTGCCCCCTATTTGTTAGTAATTCTGAAATAAAAATCAGGGGTTGACTAGACTGTTGTCGAGAAAATCGTTATTTACAGTATAAAGAATTTGTTGAAAAAGTGCATTTTCACTGCGTTACTTGGCCATCCATCGTTGAAACTGGCGTGGTCTCGTTAGATAGAGATTTAACAGCTTCTTACGACACGTTAAAAAAGTCATAGATCATCTTGTACGTTGCCAAGTAAATCAAGATTGGAAATTGATGAAATGTTTGGCCGAATTTTGCAAACGTGAAAATGTCGTTCATCGGGCGACTAGTCAATCCAAAAGTGACATTCAGGCCTATCTCACTCATGAAATGGTGCAAATTTACCACTACAGTATGCACAAGATATCTCAAGAGCAAGTACTGAATTTGTGGAAATGATTTTTTTTAGATTCATCTGCACGATGGGCTCGCTCGATGGCGGTCCAACCGATATTTAGTTTTTAATGTCTTGTTGTGCCAAAATAGCCTGCTTCATGAATTGCTGTATGCAAGGTTTTGTCAGGCGCACGCGTTTGCTGGACCTCGGGCGTCACGTCCGGGGACAATGCAGGCGCGGGGGCTGGCGTGGAGACATCGACCTCTATGCCTAGTTCGAGCAATTCCTCGTCAAGCGAGGAAATGCTCTCACGGCGCTGTCGATGCCTTGGCGATGGGCTGTGGTGCATGATTCGGACAATGAGCTTTATTGGGACAAGGAAAGGGACAGGGGACGGTGCGGCAAACAGGGGAATGATCAGGTAAAGAAAAGGGGGGAAAAAAGGGGAAAGGGGAAGCGACTGCTTAAATGGGCAGCCGATGATGGGGATTGCCCAGTCGGGCTTCCAAAAGTGTCAGCGGCGGAAGCTGGGTGGGCAATTCCCAAAAAAAAAAAAAAAAAGGAAAGAGGGCGCGGCCAAAGGAGTGGGGCACGCGCGAGACAAACAAGACAAGGAAGGCATTCATGGGCGGCAAGCCAGAAGGGGCAGAGAGACAAGGTAAGGCGGATGGTCATGGTGGCGTGAGGAGCGAGTGGGATGAGGAAGCGAGCGATGCACGCAAAGAAAAAAAAAAGGAAAAGGGTCAAAAGGCGTGGCACATGTCGGGAACGCGGGGCGGATCCTGACAGGTTTGGAGGCGAGTCAGCCATGCTTTGCGTAATTTCGCGATTTTTGGTACAGTATGAAAAATCACAAGCAAAAAACGAGTTTCTCAACAATAATGATCTGGTTGATCACTGGAGTTTCATATTTACCGGTAATTTGAAATAAAAGTGTGGCCTGTGGCGCCAAAAATCGGTTAATAATAATAAAATTTGGCATCGATCCAACCACAAAATTGACGTGGTCAGCAGAAGATTTGTGCACATTCGTGAAATCGGTGCATGCCCTGACAATAATGGCCTGCTTCTTGGCATCTGGTTTTGGAAAAAGAAAGACAAGTGTGCACGATATGGCGGCTATCGACGCACGATTTTACCACGAAATGTTTTTTGTTGTTGCAATAATCGCTTTTTCTGATCATTTAAATTGCCATGATGATGCAACTTGAAAGTTGAAACTATACGGTAGAAGCATGGCAAAAAAAAAAAAAACTGGAATGATAAAAATATAACTTTTGCCATTTAGTCGCTTTTCTCTTATCTAAATGAAGTAAATGTGATTGGATTGCTTGATTGCGACTTTTTGATAGTGCCGTTGCACATATAAAGATGCAATCACGCGTTTTGATTTTGATGGCAATAGTTGAATCATTTTGCGGCGCTTCTCGGGCAAGAAACTCAATGAAAATGATTTTGGCCTGACTTTTACGTGGTATCAAAATGTGCCCACTTGAATTTTTGCAATGTCTGCCGGCTGGGCTCATCAGAAAACGTTTTTTATACATAGTAGCTATGAATGGGGGAGGGGGTTTAATACGAAATTAAAAGAGACTTCATCAACCAAGCACTCTGAAGCCTCAAAACGCGACCGACGTGAAATGGAACGCTTGAAATCCTTGTAGGACGCGAGTCGCAGGTGTAAAAAAGTCATTGTGGGCGCGCCACGTCAAATTCAGAATTTAGCCGTGACGAGCACCCAAACCAAAAGTTTGAAAATGAGGTCCTCCAAAACGCACTAAACTTTTATACAAGAACAAAGACGTGACGAAACCAACAGGGACGACAAAAACGAGAGTAATCTTTCCAGTGGGTCGCGAGCAATGGGCAATTTTAGATTTTATTTCAATCACGAATTGCACTTAGAAAAACGCGTCCATCCAGCCACGTCGACGCGTCCAACAGAAAAAGATGTTCCAGGTGCGTGTTTATGATTAGAGGCAGACGCGTGCAAGTCAACGTCAGACACGCGTTTTGCACGCGTGCAATTTTACTGCAAACCGATTGTTCGCGTCAATTGTGTCTGAAACTCGTATTTTTCAGTGATCATGCATATCCACAAGCGCGCCCGTTTGTGCTTTTTCGGATGGTCTGTGTTT